ATGGCGACTACAGCCGCCAGCGGGCCGCCTACGACGCGCGTCGACGTCCCCTCATGGAACGGCGAGGCAGACGAGTTGACGAGCTACAAGTTTGAGGTCTCCATGTTCACCAAGAGCATCAAGACTGCGGAGCGCTACGTGTGCGGCCCGCAGCTGGCGCGCGCCCTCGGGGCGCGAGTCCGGACGACGGTGGAGAGCTGCCCGGACATCGACACGGTCGACGAGATCGACAAGGATGGAGTTTTGATTGGTTGGAACAAAGTGTTTCAGTACGTATTGGAGAAGCTGGACTTCACCAGCCTGAATGATACGGGCCTCCTCGCGGAGGAGTTCTTCCTGAAGGTCAGCCGGAACTCGGGCGAGACCTTCCAGGACTGGGCCGCCAGATTCGAGAAGAAGGAGCGGGAGCTGTTGGTGCAGCTCCAAGTCATTGATTCCAGCGTGACGGAAGTGATTGCGAAGCCTCTTCGGACATGGTGGTTCCTTCGGAAGTCCAGGCTATCCCCTGTCCAACGTGGAGAGATCACCGCCACTGCAGGTGGCGACCTCAACCTCGGCAAGACATACAAGGCCTTGCTCACGCGCTTCCCGGCGGAGGCGCTGGCGGAGCTCGACGGCAAGCAGCACCGTAAGGCCTTCTATGAGGACACGCCCGTCGACGACGTTGAGGACGAGACTGGTGGGGAAGATATTGATTTCACAGAGGTTGTCGAGCAGCTGATCACCCTCGCTGAAGAAGATGAAGATGAGGAGCCAGCTGACGACAACCCAGCGGACAACGAGGTGTTCGCAGAGTTCAAGCAGGTGGGCAGGAGCTTCAAGGACGCTCGCGACCTGATCCGACGCCTTCGAGTGTCCCGCGACTACTACCCGGTCGTGTCGCTCAAGGACCCCGATCGCGTGCCCCCGCCTCCGAACCCGGGACGAGGCTTCCAGCGTGGCCGTGGCAAGAACGGTCGAGGCCGCGCTCGCTTCGACACGGGCAAGGGACGTGACATGTCCAAGATGAAGTGCATCGCGTGCGGCGAATATGGTCATCGAGCGGCGGACTGCAACGAGAGGTTCAAGAAAGATACTACGAGAGATGGAGCTCGTGGGACTACTCACAACGGCTTCGTCCTGTCCGCCCTCGACGAGTACCTCTACCTCCTGGAGCGTGACGGCATCTGGGCGATCCTCGACATCGGGGCCACGAAGAGCCTCGGCGGCCTCGAGAGCATCGAGAACCTCATGTACGAGATGCTGGACCAGCACGGCCAGGAGTTCGAGACGACACATGACGAGTGCTCATTCACCTTCGGCGACGGCCTCCAGAAGAGCTCGATGGGCACGGTGAAGGGGAACGTGTTCCTCGGCGGCGACCTGACCGAGGTCAAGCTGTCGGTGATGCCGAACCGCGTGCCGATCCTCCTGGGCATGGACATTCTGACTGACTCGCTGAAGGTTGTGGTCGACTGCGGCCGGAACTGGATCGGCCTTCCGACCATGGGCAACAAGGTGTTCTTCTGCGAGCGCCTCTCGAGCAACCATCTGGCCGTCAACCTGACGACGCCGCAGTGGTGGAAGGAGGTGCCGCTTTCCTTGCCGAGTGCCGGGTGCCTGACGTCCGAAGCGACGGCGCCCGATGTTCTGGTCGAGGAGCTGCCTGAAGAGGCCGCTCCGTGCAGCTGCTGCCCTGCGGTACGCTAGGGACAGCGCCCCCTGATGATGGCAGCAGAAGAGAAGTTATCTCGATTGTCAACTTCATCATCGGGGGGGCCACGCCGACTCGGTCACCGCGAGATCGAAACACCTACCAGAGCGACGGAAACCTCGGCGGCGCGGACACCTACCAGAGCGACGGAAACTGCGACACGGAGCGGATCGGCTCGAGCGACGGAAACCTCGATTTCGTTCGGACGGACGGTCAGGTCATCCGACCGGCTATCTTCATCATCACCGTCGATCGGGACATCATCACAGTCAAGAGGACCGTTAGCAAGCAAGCCTCAGGATCAAAATATGGAAAAGCAAAGCGATGAGCCAGCACAATACCATCGGTGTTCATCATCATGCTGTTCGCAGCCACCTTCGGCTCAGTTCATCAACTCGGCAATAGCCTCAACCAGCAGTCTTTCACGACCTCCATATTCTTCCCAGGCCGCCACTGGCCGCTTGGATGACATGCAGCGACGGTTCTTTGGCTGGGCAATCCTCGGAGCAACAGCCGCCACCTGTGCCTGCGGCCCGCCCCGAGTGGAGCCGCCCTCGCACGAGGGGATCGACAACTTCGGCTCCAGCGACCCCGACGCCAGCATCAGCGGCAACACCAGCTACTCCGGCGCTACCAGCGAAGTGGTACAACCCAGCGGGGAAGTGCGGCTGCTGCGAAGCTCCGGGGAAGACCAAACGCGGGTGCAGCTGCTTCGGGGGCAAGAGCCACCAGCGCCTCATGACCCCACAGCAGGGAGCACCCGGGACACCAGCAGCGGCATCAGCAGCGGCAGCCAGCAGCGCCCCACCGAGTCCAGCGGGGGCTCAGCCAGTGACGAGACCTCCGAAGTCCGCGTGCTCCTGCTGCGGGACCCTCGGGAAGACGATTCGGGGGCGCAGCTGCCGCGGAGGCAAGAGCCACACGTGTACGAAGGCGACGGAGGTGACCATCCGGGAGCAGGCAGTGGCTCTACGCTGGCGGCGCCTGTCCAACAAGCTGAACTCCCCGGAGGTGCAGGGGGGCTGGAAGTTCACTCCGGAGATGCTCGACGACTCGGAACTGCCGGAGATGGACTCGAAGAGGAAACGCTGAAGCATCTCGACGACCAGGATCTCAAGATGTTCTAGAGAGCCACGACAAGGTCCTGGACGAGATCTACCAGACCATCGCCGAGGACCTGACGGAGCTCGGCAGGCCCTACCGCATCGACCTGATGGAGGTGTGCTGTCCGGAGGACTCGAGCCTCAGCAAGGCCGTGCAGGACCAGGGAGGCAAAGTGTTCAGGTGCGGCCTCTTCAATGGGATCGACATGGGAACGGCAACCGGGCTTCGACGCGCGCTTCACCTTCTCCGACGACTCCGACCGCGCCGCTTGGTTCTCAGCCCGCCATGTACAGCAGACTGCCCGATCCAGAATCTCAACCAGAAGACAGCTCAGCAGAAGGCCACGTATCTGGCGAAGGTGCGCAAGGCCCGACGGATCCAGCGGAACTGCAAGAGCCTCTGGGAAGACTCGAAGAAGATTCACGACTGCCACACCGAGCTCGAACAGCCAGCTTCCAGCCGAAGCTGGACCAGGTCGCCCTCGATCAAGGCGATGCGCGACCAGATGCACGAGACGATCATCCATGGCTGTGCGCATGGACTTCGCGAAGCTCGTTCCGGCCTGCTGATGAGGAAGGCATGGCGCATATGCTCGACAGACCCGGAGTTCGGCGCTAAGCTCGGCAGGACGTGCTCCAACCGCCCTGGCAGGGGCGACAACCACACACACCGCCCCATCGAGGACGGACAGGTGGTGGCCCAGACGGCCTTTTACCCACCAGCACTGTGTAAGGCCTGGGCAAAGCATATCCTGAAGACGAACACCAGCGCGAGGTACGGCAAGGAGATCTTCACCAGCTTGGAACAGATCCCAGAGGACGCTGAAGAGGAGATGGAGGAGGCCCTCGACGAGGACCTCTTGCAGGATAACCCCGAGGCCATGGACGACGAGTCGGTCATGAAGGGCCTGGGCATCTCCGAGACACCGACCAAGAAGGAGGAGCTGGAGATAGAGCAACGGCTGACGCGGCTCCACCGCAACCTCGGCCACCCGAGCAACAAGACGCTGTACAAGATCCTCAAGGCATCGGGAGCACCTCTCCAGGTCCTACGAGCAGCTCTTCGCCTCCAGTGTCACGCATGCCATGCGGGACAACTACCAAAAGCCGTCAGGGTCGCCTCGGGCATCGAGTTGCCAGGCGTCCTAGAGGTGCTGGCCTCCGACGGGCTCGAGTGGCTCTCGCCGAAGCAGGACTCTTTCCTGATGACGTTGAACATCGACGAGGGATCCGGGCTCACCAGTGTCACCTATCATGGACAGAAGGGAGAGCGCAATGGCAACAGATCGACTCAGGAAGTGATTTCAACATGGAATGACTGGTGCGGACATTACCGCCGCCCCAGCCTTCTCCGTCTGGACCCCGAAGGTTGTCATCGATCACAAGCAGTGGCCAGGTGGTGTTCGGACCGCGGCATCGAGCTGCGGACTGCCCCGGGCGAGGCCCACTGGCTGATGGGCAAGGTCGAGAGGCGCATCCAGCTTTTCAAGCGACTGATGACGAAGCTGGCAACGCTGGACACCGACTGCCCGGTCGAGGAGTTGGCGTCCTGGGCCGTGAGCGCGATCAACAGCATGGACAAGGTCGGCAACCACTCCCCGCTCGAGCACGCGATGGGCGTCTCTGGGATGCCGGCCTCGAGCAACCCGTTCGCCATCATTGACGGGGACACCGGGGAGACTCAGGAGCAGAGGCGCCTCCTCGCGCGCAAAAGCTTCCTGGAAGTAGAGTATGCTGAGCGTCGCCGACACGCCGAACAGGCCCGCAACCGGGTCTATCAGACCTGGAATCCGGGGGACCTCGTCTACTTCTGGCGCAAAGGGAAAGGCCTTGACCCTCGCCCTGGGAAGAAGGGCGGATGGCACGGCCCTGCTCGTGTCCTTGATCAGGAAAAACGACACGTGGACGGGCGCACCCGTCCTACCTCGGTCATCTGGATCTCCCACGGGAGCGTGCTCATCAGGTGCGCCCCGGAGCAGCTGCGCGTCGCCTCGGAGGCAGAGAAGATGATCGTCGAATTGCAGCGGCAAAGCAACCTTGGCAAGACAATGACGGAGATCTTGGAGACAGCCAAGGGCGGTACCTACGAAGACCTTCTCGGACAAAATCCTCCAGACCTCCGAGAATACGAGCCTCCACCGCAGCCGACGATGGCGATCCCCGCGACCGAGGGCCAGACTCTCGAGAACAACAGCGAGGCGGGACTCCCCTCAGGCGCCGACAACGACACACCCGGCGCTCCTGATTCCTCCAGGCCACCAACACCAAGCTCAGCGACGCAACCTGAAGTGGAACCGAGTGAACCAGATGCCCGGCGGTCCCGGCCACCACCGGCTCGTGCAGCTGACCGGTCAGCAGCCCCATCACGAACGCCAGGGAAAGCATCTACCTCAGCGGCAGTCAGGACGGAATCTCGAACAGCATCGCGTCCGCCTCCCGCGACCTCGACCTCATCGGCGGCCGGTGCCGCATCCCGAGGCGAGTCGAGACCTCGATGGCGCATGACACACCGCGGACCAGAGCTCGATCTGCACGTACCACCGGAGAAGCGACAGAAAGGCGCAGACGAGGAGATGGCCGACGCGCTGTTCGACAGCAACCACCTGGTCGACCTCTTCAAGGACAAGCTGGACATCACCCTCGGCATCGACGAACAGCAGACCGTCTACTTCGAGTACTTGCAGGATGAGAATACCACTCCAGACGGACGCCGAGGTTTGACGAGCCACATCCTGGACAGCTTCGTCGTCAACCAGCGCCGGAAGGACAAGGTGGAGCTGACCTGGTCCAAGATGAACGCCACCGAGCGTGAGGAGTTCGAGGCAGCCATCGCCAAGGAGACGAACAACTGGATCCAGCATCAGGGACTCCGCGCTGTCCCGATATCTCGGGTCAAGGACGCGGCGGACGTCATCCGGGCAAGGTGGCTCTTCACCCGCAAGTCCGATGGGAAGGCGAAGGCCCGGCTCGTCCTCCTCGGCTACCAGACGAAGGACCTAGGACAGGAGCCGACAGCCAGCCCCACCGCGTCTCGGCGCGCCCGTCACGTGATGCTAACAGTGGCCGCCGCGAACCGCTGGAAGCTCATCAAGGGCGACGTCACCTCCGCCTTTCTGCAGGCCCACGACCTCGACAAGGACCTCTTCATCGAGCCAGACGCCGTCCTCAGAAAGGCCTTCCACGTACAGGAAGGGGAAATCCTCCAGGTCGTGAAACCTGGATATGGGATCGGCGAGGCGCCCCGGCACTGGTGGGAGACGGTCAAGCACGACTTTGCGAAACTTCGACTCCAAGCCTGCGAGTTGGAGCCCTGCCTCTGGAAAGCACGATGTTCCAGGACGGGTATGCTCATCGGTATGATCATGGCCCACGTCGACGACTTCATCATGGCAGGAGATACCTCCCACCCTGAGTGGCAGGACATGGTCAAGCAGATCCGAGGGCTCTACAAGTGGGGCACCTGGGAGGACATGAATGACGGGCTCACCTCTCTCGAACAGTGCGGCGTCACCATCGAGGAGAGCGAGCAGGGCTTCTTCCTCCACCAGAAGTCGTACATCGACAAGATCAAGGAGGTCAAGGCGGCCAGCGGCAGTAAGCATCGGACCACCGACAGCCTCAAGGACTCTGACAAGACGGTGCTCAGGGCGTTCTGCGGCGAGATCTACTGGCTTGGCGTGAATACCATGCCATTTCTCTTATCGTGGGTAGCCGACCTCCAGATGAAGATACCAGCAGGTACTCACAACCTCTTCACGGCCGCTAACAACATCGTCAAGCTCGTCAAGCAGAGCCGCCACATGGGGATCAGGATCTACCGGCACGCCCTGGACGACCTCGCCATCTTCACCTGGTGCGACGCAGCCTGGGCCAGCCGCCCGGATGGACACTCCCAGGGTGGTCATATCACCGCTATCTCCTCCAAGGCGGCCATGGACGGGAAGCTCTCCGAGTTCACGGTCCTCGACTGGGGCTCCAAGAAGCTGCGCCGCGTGGCTCGGTCAAGCCTGGCGGCGGAGGTGCAGGAAGCCGGCGACGCCGAAGGCGAACAGAGCATGGTGCGACTGGTACTTGCCGAACTTCTACACAATATGTCTCCACTGCAAGATACCGCAGCAGCACTACGACGATTACCAGCCATCCTGGTGACGGACTGCAAGGCCTTCTACGACGGCGTGGTGCGATCTCAGTCGGCGGGACTGGGACTGGAAGAGCGGAGGACAGCCATCGAGGCTTTGGCTCTCCGCAATGCCTTGGACGAGGGTCAAACGGTCGTGCGCTGGGTTCACTCACACGCACAGATCGCCGACGGCCTAACCAAGGCAAGCTGGCAGGCATTCGGAGTGGTCCGGGCCTTCCTCGAGAAGCAGCAGTGGCGCCTCATCTACGACGAGCAGTTCATGAGCGCTCGCAAGCGGGCAGCTCTTGGCAAGGGCATCTTCGACGAGACGGACCCGACCGACCCGGCCTCAGCTCGTCAGGTACTCGAGGAGCGTAGGTTGGCCCGCCAGGCACAACCACCAGCCAGCATGGAAGGGAACCCTTCCAGCTCGACGACCTCTACTGGGTTCTCGGCCTCCGAATCCCTGATCATGATCCAGAAGTTGCAGCAGGAGATCGAGGCCCATCAGAAGTTCGTCCAGCAGCACGCACGGAGCGCAGAGATTGCCTGCGCGCACGGTACAGGGCAGACCCTTTTTCCCCCTGTCTGAATGATACGCAGGAGTAAGCTTGAGCAGCAGCTGTCTCCTGCCCGTCTGCCCTGTCCGTGGCCGCCGCCACCCTCGGCTCAAGGCGAGGGAGGGCGGGACTCTTTCTGACAGAGCCTGGCTGTGCCAGGCAGACCGCGCACACTACAGCGCGGCCGTTCATATCGTGGACAAAAGGTGTTCACTGACAATTATCACGATAATTGACATCGACACATACTTTCTCTTGCTCTTCCTCATCGTCACCAGCGTGACCGATCTTGAGGACGAGCTCTAGTAATCATAGAGAGGTGGGGAGGGGGAGGGAGGGGAGGGAGGGGGGAGGGAGGGAGGGGAGGGAGGGAGGGGGGAGGGAGGGAGGGGGGAGGGAGGGAGGGAGGGAGAGGGGGAGGGGAGGGGGGGGGTTCACCGCCCCCCCCGCCGGGGTCCCAGGTCCTGGTTACCCGCCGGGGTCCAGGGGGAGGCCCCACCTTCCGCCGGGTCGGCGGCACCGGCTGCAGGGCCTTCGCAACAGGTCCTCGAGTACCGAGGGTCGAGACTCGAGGCCAGAGGTTTTCGAGCGTCTCTGAACCTTCCCAGACTTCCAGAGGACTCCAGGGACCTTCGGGGGCGCGCAGACATGGATTAGAGATCCGTGGATCTGGCGCGCGGTCGCCAAGTCCGTGGATCGGGGGAGGTGCCCTCCCCAACATGCGGCCGGTGCCGCCTCGCTCGGCGGCGGAAATCCGCGGTTTCCCATGGAAACGGGACCCGTCGCTAATCCACGCATCCTCAATCCATGTTTGCGATCGCCTGACAGGGGGAGGTCCTGCCTTCATGGTCGGCGGCACTGGCTGCAGGGCCTTCGCAACAGGGGGGTCGTCGCGTGGACTGCAAATTGCGGAAGCACGACGAGATCCGGGGGTTCAGCTCCTCCCCCCCAACACGCGCCCCCCCTCCCGCCAAAGACCGCTCCCCTGACCCCTCCCGGGCACAGCACCAGCCCGCTTTTCCCTGGCCGCGCCCAGCCGTGGCGACGAGGGCGGGCGGGCGGGAGGCCCAAAAACGAGGAGCAGCAGCAGGAGCACGTGGAGGATGAAGAAGAAGGGGATGAGTATATTTCCCGCCCCCCAAGAGGCCCCAAGAAGCCCCCAAGAGACCCCCAGAAAGCCCCAAGAGGCCACCACGAGGCTCCCAAGTGGCCCCCAAGAGCCTCCCAAGAGGCCCCCAACCCAAACTACCCCCAAGAGGCCCCCGAGAGTCGTCGTCGTCGTCGCCGTCGTCGTCGTCGTCGTCGTCGTCGCCATTCAGGGTCGGCGGAACTGGCCGTAAGGCCTTGGCAATTTCCCGATCCGCTCATCGCCACGCCAGAGCCCCCTGAGACGCTCTTGCTGAAAACTTCGCTCCCCAGGATACCCCTCGAGGACTGCAGGTAGGAAGCCATCATCCGCATCGTCATCCTCCCTCTTCCCTCCTTATCGTTCCAAGTATGGTCAAAGCTGTATCTTCCTCCTCCTCCTCCTCCTCCTCCTCCTCCTCCTCCTCCTCCTCCTCCTCCTCATCCTACTGTTCTCCATCCCGAGTATCCATCCTACGATCTCTCCCCCAGTCACCCACCTCCTTCCACCTTCCTCACCATTATCTCATTCCTTCCTCCTTCGCCTTGTCGTACTCATCCTCATCATTCCCTCCTCCTCCTCCTCCTCCTCCTCCTCCTCCTCCTCCTCCTCCTCGGCCCTATCATCATTCTCAGCTGCGAGGGTGGGGCGACTTCAGCCCAACCAGCTGGGCCGCGTCGCCAGCATGCCACGCCAAGGTCGCGACCTCCACAGAAGGGGGGCGGGAGAGGTGAGGCGGAGCAGATGTGGGCATACACTGGACGGAAGCAGGGAAGAAAAAGAAGCAATGAGCAGGAATCCAAATTGAGAACAACCGGCCGCACAACAGACCGCCGCACGAATGGCGACACGCGTCGCGTGAAGCTACTCCCGCGTGTCTCCCGCCCTACTTCGGCACACCTCTCACGCTGATCGTGCACCACAGGAAGCTCCACGGACGGCCCCAGAGACAAGGTTCGCATAGCGTCCCCCCGCCCACTGCGGCACACTCCTCATGCAGATCGTGCCACACAGGGAACACCACATACAGCCCAACAGACAAGGCTCGCAAGTCGTCCACCCGCCCATGTCGGCACACCACTCATCCACGCGAATCGCGCCCTGAAAGGAGCTCCACCTATGGCACCGATGGCAGCTTCGCACCTGCGGCCCCGGCTGGCCGCCTCAACCATCCTCTGCAAAAGCAAGAGAGGAACCCGCAATACAATATGCAGTTGGGGCGGTGTGGCATACCTGCTATTTGGTGAAGCCTTGATCCGAGCAGGCTATGATGATGATGGTGATGAAGACGACGACGATGATGATGCTGATGCTGATGCTGATGCTGATGCTGATGCTGATGCTGATGGTGGATGCTGATGCTGATGCTGATGCTGATGCTCATGCTGATGCTGATGCTGATGCTGATGCTGATGCTGATGCTGATGCTGATGCTGATGCTGATGCTGATGCTGATACTGATGCTGGTGCTGATGCTGATGCTGGTGCTGGTGCTGATGCGGATGCTGATGCTGATGCTGATGTTGATGCTGATGCTGACGCTGATTGATGCTGATGCTTATGCTGATGATGATAATGATGATAGTAATGATACTGATGATAATGATAATAATGATGCTAATGATGCTAATGATGATAATGATGATAATGATGATAGTGATGGGGATGATAATGAGGATGATATGATGATGAGGATGAGGATGATGGTGATGAGGATGAGGATGAGAATGAGGATGAGGATGAGGACGAGGATGAGGATGAGGGTGAAGGGTGGTGATGATGATATGACTATGATGATACTAAGAATGATGCTAATGATGATGCTGATGATGATGATGACGATGGTGACGATGATGATGATGCTGATGATGATGATAATTGTGATGATGATGATGATGATGATGGTGGTGGTGGTGATGATGATGATGACGATGATGATGGCACGCTCTATGAAAGCGGGCGCACTGCAGCCGCAAAGCAGAATTCAGAGCATTAATTCGATGCGTACACCAACACTAGCCTAAAGATGGATACGAACGACACGCACATACATGGACACGAGCAGAAACGGCTCTCAGTTCTGAATGCTTCTCTGGACCTGACCTTTCTGCTGTGAAATAGCATATGTGCAGCTAGTGTCCAAAGAGACCACCGCATTTTATCCCTGATGGGCTGCACCGTTGACACAACACTTGTTGGTCCAGTCTGCATACACTTCCTCTTTGATTATCATATTCGTTTGGGCAGCATGAAGGGGGAGGAGAAGGAGAACGACGACGACGACGACGACGACGACGACGAGGGCGGCGGCAGAAACGACGACGAAGATGCGACGACGAAAATGCGACGACGAAGATGACGACGAAGACGACAACGAAGACGACGACGAAGACGATGACGGCGGCGGCGACGCCTCCTCCCTCCTCCTCCTGCTCCTCCTTCTCCTCCTCCTGTCGCCCTCCTCCTCGTCTTCCTCCTCCCCCTCCTCCTGCACAAAGTGCCAGCAGCGGCCATAGCATGTGCGGACCCACTGGCCCTCTGGGGACTGCCCTGAGTGTTAATCCCTTCCCAGCGGTCCCCTCTTGGCATGCCTGAAACACGTAGGATCAAATGGGTACGATGGCCAACAGCAAAGGCCGTCTCAAGCCGACAGCGGCCGCTGTTGGGCAGGCGACATTTGTCTCAATTGTACAACGTCCGCGGCGACACCGACTGGACAGAGCTGCGGTCGGTCTTCGCCACTCCTCTTCTTTCCGTACCTATTCCGGTCGCACCGCCCTCCAAGCCCCTCCCGTCCTCGTCATACATTGCTTCTTCCTCCTCGTCCTCCTCTCTCCCTTCCCAGGCCTAGGGGAGACGTCAGGAGGGGACCAGCTCACGGGTGGAAACATCGAGCTTGAATCGGCAATACATTGCCGATTGCTCCCCGAAAGGCCCCCGATGGCGAATCCGCACGTCCCTGGGCGGGAAAGTGCTATCGGGCCACTCTCGGCGATGAGAGGGTGACTGTAGAGGCCGCCCAGATGGGGCCGAAGTGGGGTCGGGGGATCGCGCCGCATCGCCGATGCACCGGCGACGTCGGCGATGCATCGGCGACGTCGGCGTTGAGAAAATCGGGCTCCACAACGAGCAGCATCGCCGATGCATCGGCGATGCGGCGCGGTCCTCCGACCCCATCTGCTCGGACCCCATTGTCGGGCGCACGCTAACATGGATTAGGGATCCACGGATCTGTCGGTTGGGCGCCAGATCCACGGACCTGGGAAAAAAACACCCGAAATATAGCGTCAATGCCGCCCGATTCGGCGATGCAGCGCGCCAATTCTGCTATGGAAACGGGACTCGCCGCTAATCCACGTTGCCCTCGTCCCTGCCCAAATCCCACCAGCCCTCTGGGCGCAGGTGGTCTAGGGCGTTTCCTTTTCCAGCCTCCTTCCTTTCCCTGTTCGGGAGGCTTACCTCCCCCCCCTTCCGTAGGTCTGGACGGGCCCCCCCGCGAGGTGGCAGAGGGTCCTTTTTGACCCAAGACGGCTCCGAGAGGGCATTAGAGAGCGCAAGATGGCCTCCAAGATAGCCCAAGATAGCGGTAGATGGCTCAAGATAGCCTCCGACACACATCCAAGAGGCATCAAGACGGCCCTCGGAGGGTTTCAAGTGCTCTCCGAGCCCTCCAAGGACCCCCCCAAGAGGCCAAAATACTTCAAACACCTGAGGAAAAACAATGTGTGTTGCCTTCTCGTTTGTTCGCCTCCGTTGGCTTCTTGACGCCTCAAGATGGCCCCAACATGGTCCAAGAGAGCCCCAAGAGGGGCCCAAGAGGGCTCCCCGACGACCCCAAGAGCGCACAAGAGCGTTCCAAGAATGGCCCAAGAAGGCCCCATGACGACACTTTTGAGCCTCCGAATT